TCAATAGCATATTTTAGTATCTTTCTTTTGACATAGACATGGCCTTTATAGACTCCATGGTTTGGGCAATATGATTGTTGTTTGATGATGGAATTGTGTTGTCAACCTTCTAGACAGTTTTAGATGTATTCAGTTTTATGATATCTAAGTCTAGAATATCATGGAAGGATATGTGAAAGTTGTATGAAATTTCATAAGATTTCTGGATTTTAAATTAAAGATCATAAATTTTGGATCATCCTATTCAGCAGTTATGTATGTTTGTCGACTACTGTTTTTCTATTGTCAAAAAACTATAATTAGTTTGCAGGCTTGTTTTTGGTACCTTAAAGTATTCAAAATTCAATAGTTGTAACATGAAAGTTGTATACCATGCTATTTTTTATATTTTGACAAAGTTTCGTATTTTTTGGACAAGTGATTTGTTTGTAGTAAAAAAGTGAAAGAGGGTTGCTATAGTTGGTTGGTTGTTTGGTTGTGGTTTTAGGGAAAACAGTGGTACAGGCTGTAAAAGTGATTTATATGTTATTTGTGTATGTTTGGATGAGTATGTTTTCTGAGGTGGTCATGTTTGAATAGGTGGTGCACCTTTGGATCATTCTTAACTCACATTCTTGCATCGTCGTTTCGAGGCAAGTAAATATAGGGGTGGTTTGGTACAGCTTGACTTGTTTATTCTACCTACACATTGCCAAAACATTAAGCAACTAATTTGATATAATTAATTAACAATTCACTTATTCTTTAAAGCAACTTATGCAAGACCTAAATCATTGAATCTTTTTGTCGTTTGTTGGGAGGTAAGTGATATGTTTTATTATTGTGGATAAATATGGCAGATGTGGTAAGTATTCTTGCAGTTGCACCATACCCTTGTATCATATTGCATTGCATAGAATTCGTGGATGTCACCGCTTGCTGGCTGGGACCATACCGGTACAGGATCATACGTTGTTCGAGTAGGGGTACAATTAATGCAACTTCGTACCTTATTGGGTATGGAGGCAATGGGCATGCATATTGACGGATCAGGATCCTACGGGTTTCCCACTAGGCCGACTACTCGGAGGATTCCTGGGCCGACACAAGGTTCGCTTGAAGACACGGAACAAGGTGGCGTGATCTCCGAGTATTCAAGAACCGACCTTGTCGGACACTTAGGGAAATTAGTCTCTGTAATAGAACTAGGACTCTCCAATTGTAACCGATTAGGACTAGAACAACCGCCCTGCCCTCTGACCTATATAAAGAGAGGTAGGTGACACCCCTTATACACATCAACTCCCTTGTACACATCAACTCAATCACGCCATCCAACGTAAAGGCATCATGCCGAACTGGACGTAAAGGCTATTACTCGATTACGAGGGCCCGAACCAGTATAAATCGTTTGTTTTCGTGTTTACCGCCGAGTTCAGCAATTGCCGAAGCCCACCAAACTCTATCCCGGGTACCGTGATAGGTTGTTGGTCGTCAAACACCGACACATATGCATTTCATTTGCACTCTTTGAGGTTCACTTGTATTGAAGTTGTGGATATGAGGAGTTTTTTATATGTAGAGATGGTCTATTTATTGAATATCGTAATGTTGTTTATTTTCGTTATGGCGATGTCTTTGGATAAATAATTTGACTATGAATTATTATTTTCCTATGTTGTCATATCTTCCATGTTAAATCGATGCATGATAACTTGTGGTTTGAATAACATGTTCAGACAATTTGCTTGCTGAGATTTATTCTTACTCTGTTATCATCCCAGATGCTTGATTTGGATGCTTTACTTGAAGGGATGGGATTAGCGGCACATCTCCATTGCTTCATCCACACTTATGATAATAACTATGTTTTTCCTTATATAATAAACTTAGAATTAAACTCCATGGTGAACCTTCATGGTTTAATAATAACGTTTGTGGTGGAACCTTTTATAGTAATAGCGTTGTTGTTATTGCTTCCACATTTTATTTTGCTTGTTGTCGATGCGGGACCCACGGGATACCCCGCAAGGAAGAGAGAAGATCTAGTCTAAGTTTCCTTTCATGTAATCCTAGTAATAGTATTATTCTGTAAATCCTACTAGGAACTCTCATTATAAACCGACTAAGACTCTGACCTCCTGACTGTATAAAGGAGGGCAGGGTTCCTAGCGGAAAGGGGGACTTTTGGACAACAACACACAATCAATCCAATGCAAGGCTAACGCCGACTGGACGTAGGGCTATTACTTGATCACGGTCAAGGGCCCGAACCAGGATAAATCGACCGTCTCTTGCGTTCACCGTCGAGTTCCGCATACGCTGAAGCCCGAACATACTGCCCTAGGGACCCCGTGGCAGACTATCAGTGGTCAAACATCGACACTTGTGGGTTTTTTTGTTGTCGATTTTTATACTCTGGCTTGAGGGAATGGATGTTTAGCGATATTCTGAGTTTTTTTGGCTCTTGAGGTGTTACAACGTTATTGGATCTAGACCAAAAGTCCTAGGCAGTATCTTCACACTCAAATTGGGTCAAACTAAAAGGTGGCAATTAAGGAGAAATACTCTCATTCAATGATGTGAAATGCTACCACGTCAATGTCTTCTCTCATGAAGTTTCTTTTTAGAAGTAAGGTGGTGAAGAATGAGAGCTTGTAGCACATGGTTTCACTTCACACAGAGGCCTAGCATAACACCCTATGATATGTGCAAAAATTACGCTCTCAATTTAATCATTGGCATATCAAATGAATTTGATAGATTCGGACATATAATTAAGTCCTAATGGACTTCATATTCTATCCAAATACAAATCACAATCTACATTTGTATAACTCAGATCATACTATGACTTAGGACAGTTAAATTGATTGTGGTACATTCAAGTTTTAGCACCACTACCTCCGAGTAGTCCTTCACTGCCGGTTCAACCCCCCTATCACCGCCAGAAACAAAAATCGGTAGAAGGAAAGTGGTATTGACGTGGCTTTCCTATCACTATCGGTTCGGGACTGCAACCGGTAATGTTGATTTGAGCAACACTGCCAGCTCAACACTTAAGCTGACTGCAACCAGCAGTGTTGATTTGAGCAACACCGCCGGCTCAGTACTTGAGCCGGCAGTAGTGATATACCTATCTATGATCATTGCTAGCTTGTTGATTGATCTGACAGTGATCTAATTTTCTCATATTGTTATTTATTATTTTTGTGTGATACTTTTTAGTTACTATGATTGCTAGACTCACATACATAACCACATCCATCGAGACTTCCGAAGAAAACAGCAGTCGCACCCATGCAACTTACAATGATAGATTAGAACGTATATTATCACTTGTATTGACCATTTCCGGGCTAGGCCAAAAGTACTAAGCGCTGGAAGTGACAAGACACGAGTGGTTATTAAGCAACCATGGCAAAGAAAAAAAAAAGAGGTTCGACAAGTGTATCCGAGCCAAAACTAGCTCATCACTCGCACTCGCACGCTCATTGAAAACGCGCATTTTACTTTTAGTGCGTATAGATACGTACATGTGGGCAACTGGGCATGCATGCATACGTACAAGGCACAGACAGCTAGCACCTCGCAAGCAACCAAAACGGTGCTGACGGCGACCCTTGGCGACTTTATGCGCCAACAGTGACGCGCCCCTAGGCGGCTAGCCCTCGCTCACACATCGTCGTCTTCCTCCGTTGTCCGTTCACCTTCACGGCTTCACCCTTCACCTCCGGCGATCATTACATTCACACCCATGCATGTCGGACCACGTAAACAAATTTATTTAATTATATATTAGGCGAGGATTATTAATAGCGGGATGGAGAGGCGTCGTCGAGTGCTCGGCCGGGTTGGGCTATTAGTTGTCACGCACACGCCCAGCGGCGCCGTGGCCCCCCCGGACCTTCCTTTTCTGATTCTCTCCGCCGGCCGCCCGTCGTCGGCTATGTACGACCGAGCGCATACGATACGAGCTAGGTGGGGCGGCCGGGAGGACGGAGGCGGGACGACGTACGGGTGGATTGGATATCTCCGGCGTGCCCGTGCCCTACCGACGGCGTCGCCGCTGCCGATAGGCCGAGGCGGGGCGGGCGACCCGTGCCGTGCGGCGGTCTCTATTGGATATCTCCGTCTAATCGCACTGACTTTTCGAGTAGGAGTAGCGGTAATGGTCACCTGCTATGCAAAATTGCTGTAAAAAAACTTTACTCCCTCAGCTGTATCGTCTAAATTTTCGTGCTAGTCAAACATAGTTAGGTTAAAACTCGCATCTAAGGTTTTATTCATTAAATAAGGTTGAGACTCGAACATGATCGACTCAATTTGATAAAGATTAGGTCGAAGCGGCTCAAAATTAATGAGCTGCTCATGTTGGGTTAGTTACTTACTTCCTCCGTTTTAGAATAAAACTAACTTGTTTGTTATAAAAAAAAAGTTATATATCTTACAACTGAGTTGAGATTTGAAAAAACTAGAGCTGCTGCAAAGTTCAACAAGCAAAGAAAAGTCCACCCTTCTATCTAGAATTAATTGCTAAATTAAAACGCCCAGTTTCTGACGTTTCAAAAAGCTGAAAGGAGTTGGAAAATGATTGCATTTCCCTCCAGACGGTAGACACCAAATGCTGCCTGACCACAGTAACCACTGCCCTAATCATTGATGAAGGTACTGCATTAGCAATTAGGGAGCTAGGGATGGACCCCACGAAGATGCCCCTATTGTCAAGCCAGCTTTTCCCGTGACCACACCCCGCCTCTCCCAATGGGCGGCCTGCAGATGGCCGCCTTCTTTTCTCACACCGGGTCTAATTTGTCTAAGCGCACCTTTAATAATTGCCATCCTCCTCTAAATAAATGGGATCCGAGACGCAGATGATGAATAAAACAAATGAGAAAAAAATTAAATAATGCACGTCCTTTCCGTCTAGATATTCCGTCGCTGATTCAATCGTACTCCCTATACATGCATCTGTAGCGAGAGGAAAGGGCGGTGCTCTTAGAAAATCGCGACAGTGAGTGATGGGCAAATTCATGAATGGCCAAACACCTCACACTTCAAGGAATACATACATTGACAGAATTATGAGAAATCTTATGCAGGTCAGTTTTTTTCATAATTGTGTGTAGTGGTGCCAAACACGCGTCACATTTCTATTTGTTCGCTCTGGCAAAACTCAAAAGGCTATGAAAATGAAATGAAACCCCAGAAAATCATCACAAGAGAACAAAGGAACGAAGCTTCTGAGCATCAAGGGAAAAGCAGAGTTGTACAGATCACCATTTGATTATAAAACGTTCAATCAACGATATATAATCGATTCCGCTTGTTTAATCAGAACAGTATCCGCAGGCACATGGGCACTATGAGGATGCCATTGCATCTTCCAATCACCGTGTCATGAATCAAGACACTTCTTTTAGGAGACAGCAGGCAAGGGAGGATAACAAATAAAATGCTAGAGTTAGCCACCTCATTTGAGACTATTATACCCCTAGTGTTCTGTCTCCAAACCATGTCATCGCATGGAAGTTTTCGCACCAGAACCATAAAAATATCCAACAACCAACGTATCTCTATACTCTCCAGACCAAGGTTTACTGAACATGTGCATTTTGTGGTTGCAGTTGCGCTTGGCTTCTCGTCGGCGGCCAATGAAGAAAGCATACCACAGCCGATGCAATCATCTGTACAGAAGGTCTGATTCTCTCAGCTGATTGCGAACATCTTCATCTTCGGAGGCGCCAGCATGCTTTTTCTTTGGATTGGTGCAAAGATTTCTGATTGGAGCCTGGAGGTCCTAAAGAAAATTCACTTCGCTGGCTGGTGGAGACAAAGAAAAGGAAGATGCTCTGTGTCCTGGAATGCAAATATTTGATCCGGCCTCCCAATTATTGCTCCAGGTAAGAAGCGATCCAGAGTTTTCTCTGCGAAAACAAAAGATGATACTTGGGTCTGGTTCAACGTAGCATATAAGAGGAAGTACGCAGACATATATACTAGAAATCCTAGTATAGATGTTTTGATGAGAGTGAAAGTTTCCCAGTTGCCTACTTTCCCTGCATGGAATACACCTGATGCAGAGGTTGCGGGGGAAAAGGTTCATAGCAGCAGTGACAGACTAGCTGCTCCAGGTCACATTCATTCACTACAAGAAAAAGAACATCAATCCTTTTCCGAATCATGTAACTTTGACAGACCTCTTTGACTTAACTGACTTGAGTACAAAGTAACAACTTCTTGATACAGGAAGGACGGACCATCGGGAGTTCTTTATAATAGTTTATGGTAATGACTTCGCAGTAATAGCATATCAGGGACAAGTAGAGGTACAGGTGTTGAAGCCCACCGACGGTTGAAGGGACATAGATTCTAGGGGCTGATAAGATATAAGGACACACACGCTTACAGAGAAGCAAGGGAAAGGCTAAGAGCCTTAGGCTCCCACAACCACCAGCTTTAAAAGAAGGGGTGCAATTGAGGAGGGAGGTCTGCAAAGAAAAGAAGAGTGCCCTTAAGCCTACCGGTGCCTTCCTCCAAATCCTGATATCAGTAGCCACTAGTTGCTGCCGTTCTCCCACAAGCTCCACTCTATCACACGCCACTGTAGGAGCCCATATAGCTCCTCCACAATCATCCCACCCTAGAGCCATAAATCGTTGAGAGGGGTTCTTAGAACCAGAGGATTACCTGTGAAGAATTACGTGCTGCTCCTCAAGCTGTGGGCTGTGCAGATTGCAGAGCTCAGCTTCAGTTTCAGCATTGCTTTCAATGGGGAGGCACTCCTGCTGTTACAAGCAGAAGCTGAGGAAGGGGCTCTGGTCTCCTGAGGAAGATGAGAAGCTCATGAACCACATAACCAAGCATGGGCATGGATGCTGGAGCACTGTCCCGAAGCTTGCAGGTACAATCAAATCCTGCACACTTTATTCTATCTTCTCAATTATCCATTTCCACTGTTTCCTGTTCCTCTCCAAGACCATCCCATTCTTCTCATACCTGCTCAATTAATGATGGCAGGGCTTCAGAGGTGTGGCAAGAGCTGCAGGCTGAGGTGGTTGAATTACCTGAGGCCTGACCTGAAAAGAGGTGCATTCTCTCAGGAGGAGGAAGACCTTATCATTGAACTTCATGCTGTACTGGGAAACAGGTAAAGTTAAGCCCAAATCACAGATAGAATTTTGCACCAATTGCTTTCAAGCAAGCTTAATTTAACTATGCCTTTTTCACATCAATGAACAGGTGGTCTCAGATTGCAACAAGGTTGCCTGGAAGAACTGATAACGAGATTAAGAATCTCTGGAACTCAAGCATCAAGAAGAAGCTCCGGCAGAAAGGCATCGACCCCAACACCCACAAGCCCCTTGCTGAAGTTGAACACAGCAAAGCAGCTCCAACAATCAGTACTGAGAGAACCTCTGAGTCCAGTGATGTTGACCCTTCAAGTGGTGGTGCACTTGGCAACTTGAGCCATCTTCTCAGCGAGACAGCACAATCACCAGAGCTGCTGCCAGTGCTCGGTAAGCATCGCAAAGAAACTACTAGCTTGGCACATCTAAGGGTGCCGCCGAAGGAGTTATTCCTTGACCAGCTTGTTTCTGGTCATGAAAACCTCACTAGCTGCCGCTCAACAGGCCCAATTCCAAATTTCCCTTTCCAGCAGCTGATGTGCTACAACAATGAATTTGGCAACAAGAATGGTGGTAGTAACAATTCATTCTGGTTTAACCAGAATGAGTCAAGTGGCAGCACCATTTCCACTGTGATGCCACCAGTTTCACCATCAACTCTCTCAACATCAACAGGGCTCAATAGGTCACCAGACAATCCACACTCTGGCATTCAGAATACCCAATTCTACTGGGAAACTGCTAATCCTAGCAGCAGCAGCAGTAGCGGAAGCAACGGCTTGGGATTTGAGCTGCAAAGCACAAGTTCACTTCTGGAAAGTAGTGTTTTCCCATGGACAGATTTAACACCAGATAAAAATAGCCAAATTCACCTTGAGGAAGAACTCAAGTGGCCTGACTTGCTCCATGGAACATTCACGGACACACCTGCAACCATGCAGAATCTTAGCCAGTCACTGTACGAAGATGTTATCAAGGCCGAGAGCCAATTCAACATAGAGGGCCTCTGTGCAGCCTGGTCTCAAAATCTGCAGCCACAGCAACATCTGCAGGTAGTATCAGATTTGTATGACAAGGATTTGCAGAGAATGTCCTTGTCTTTTGAGAATATCTAGGCAACATGTTTCAGCATGCAGGGAACAGAGAAATAGCAGAAAGATGAGTTAATGAAGCCTAGAAAACACAATTATTTCTTCACAGATTTATTTGAAGGCTATGTGGAGGTGTTTTCCATAGGTACATTCTTATGATGAAACAGAGACCAATACTGATAACTGTTCATCAGTAAAAGAGACTGCAGTACATGAAAAAAAAAATGAATTTATATTACAGCATAATGTATAGACTAGAGAAAGTACATCCTAGGAGTTTACCTCCTTTCATTTAAAAGTTGCTGTCTTTATCTGTACATGCATGTAGCTCGACTTTTTTGTATATGTGAGTCATCTTTTTCTACAAAATAAATGAGGCAAAAATGTGGAATACTCTGTCGGTAGCTCTTGGGAACCATACAAAAAATTTCAGATTTCTTTTTCAGCTGGTACATGCATGAGATGCAAATTAATTGTTGACAATGCACTTTTATTCTTTCAATTTTTTTCTTTCCAGAAATTCTTGGATGAATCGTTTGCATATTCATGGGCAAGGCTAAAGTTATATTTGACCTTAGTGCTACTTTTCATCCGCCTTTTTCCTTTCTTTGTCCACCTTTTGCTAAAGAGAATCTCAAGCTAGCTGATCACTTTCCGCATGAAAATACATAGTGGAAAACAATGATTACAAGTCGTCCGATTAATCGCGATTCCAAATCGGTCCCTGGTGACCGATTAGGGGTACCGTCGACTTGTACAAGTCGCCCGATTAATCGCGATTAATCGTCCTAGTCGGTCCCATGGCGACTAGGTTCGACTAGACGACTTGTAAACATTGGTGGAAAAGGACTGCTTGGTTTCGCTCCAAAGAGTTAAAATCCTCAAGCGTGGAACACATACCAATTAAAGAAAATGAGGAATTTCCTTATATGTGCTTCCCAACAAAGTAGAGTAGATAAAGGGAATAGGATAACCGTTACTTATACAGGGGCGTCTTCTTAAACTAGAAGGTATGGAGGGAGCAGAATCAGCTAGGTTTAGAGTATAACTATGCGATAATTTCCATAGTGTTTCAACAACTTATGAAGAGAAGCTAGCAGCTGCTTGTTAACAAAGTAAAGATGAACAGAATCAGCTAGGCAGGATTTTAATTTGCACTTTTTGCATAAAACAACATGGTTTTCAGGTCACTTGCTTTCTTTTCCCAGCCTTATGTAAGGTGCTGTACATTCATCTATCACTAACTCAAAATTGCAGCTCTCCTACCTGTTTAGAGGATTTGTAGGCCATTTTCTGAAACGATTATTTAATGCCCAGGAGGGCTAGGTATTTAGCGTATCTTACATAATCTATACTTAGTCATATAAAATGCAAGCCTTTACACTAGGTACTAGTTAAATAATGCAACTGTGGTGAGAATACCTGGTTAAGAAACAAAAAAGGCATATTAAAGCCCACTCAAGTTAGAAAGGGATGGGTATTGATGATGCTTTGACCAGCGCTGGCAAAGATCATTCTATAATCTGGTTTAGGCCCTCTTTGGAATGCAGGATTTTATCCTGTTTCCTATGTTTTTCCTGTGAAAATGAACTGATTCTTGTAAGGTTCCTGTGAAAGTTCTGTGTTCCAAAGAGGCCTTACTAGGCTTAACTTGATTGTATATATCTAGACCAAGGCAAGAGAATATCAATGATGGTTTATTTTCATCATATTTTAACTGTTGTTAGCAGCTTTCTATCCTCAGCTTCCCACAAACTAGCTTCGATGTTAGAGGATTCTTTCACATGCCACAAACGAATAGGGTTTTGTTCTCTCGAAATAACATAAAGTAACCTAGCATCACGTCGTTGACAAATGCAATGGAACCAATAATACTAACTAATTTCTGTATACAAAAAATATGTAAAACAAATAAGGACAGTGGCCCTAAAAACTAATTAAACCCAATGATTCCAAAATGCATTCATAAGCTTGTTCAAAAAAAATGCAGCACTCAAAAGCCTACACATCTCCTCACACACACACACACACACAAAAAAAAAAAAAAAAAAAAAAGATGGCTATACCAAAGTCACTATGTTCATCTTTTTTCTAGACCAACCTAGAAGGAACGAGTTGGCTTCATATTACAAAGAAAATAGGCACCCAAATTCACCTCACGAGAACTTGAACCTAAGTGGTCTGGACATACATCAACACCCTAAAAAATCACTATGTTCTGGTAAGGAGTTTGTGTAGTGCAGAATTTTGATAATCAAATATGAACATCTAGTCACACGGGAATGTATACTTAAATTTCTGTTTTTATGATGTACCTCCATAATGTGATGGTAAAGGTGAGGGTGCTTCTGATATTGTCTCTTTGCATGCATCTGCATGTTTAGAAAAAAGATTATCAGTGCAAGAGGAAAAATTTGATGAAAGAAAATTGTGGAAATGGGAGAAAGTCAGGAAACCATAACAATGGAAACATTATGTAATGGGGAGTGCTGCACTCAACATCGCAGGTTACACATTATATAGCATTTACATAGCAAATATTTGACTTCAAATGGAGAACAAAGTTTATGTGCTATCAGGTGGTGCAAATCCAGTGGGTAGACAGTTTCTAAATATAGTCTTGATCGAATAACAAAAAAAAATCCATGTAATTCAAAAGAAATATAGCTTCTTAAATTTGAAAATCATCCAATGCTTGCGTGAGAGAGTAACTTGGCTCACAGACATTTCTGGTTTTCGTGACAAGACAGTCAACTAAGCCTATTGACACAGCACTGTGACAAGACTACAGAGTTAGACAGGATTAGCAAGAAATAAAAAGGGCATACCCAGTGCAGAGAGTTCCCGCTCTGTGCGGGGTCTGGGGAAGGGTGTTAGTGGCAAGCCTTACCCTCGCCTGTGCAATGCGAGGAGACCGCGACTCGAACCCGGGACCTTCCGGTCACAGGTGGTAAGACTCTACCGCTTGCACCAGGCCCGCCCTTCAGGATTAGCAAGAAATAACAAAGCATAAATTGAAATGGTTGTCTTCTACCTTCATGCTCAGTTGTGTCTAAGAATTTATTCAGTCTTTTCTTTTTTACATGAGCTGAGCATGACAATGGAATCATGGGAGCATGAGACAGCGTAATCATTCCTTGTATATTAGAATTAGAAAGTCATAATTGCCCAGAACAGAACGGCAACACACTAGAGGATGCAGTTTAACACTGTACAACAACTGCTGTTTTGACTCTGACAGTGAGAACTAACTACAAATAATCACATGAACTGATAGTGTTCAGATATTGCTTAATGCAAGTATCAATAGGCTCATTAACACATGGAAATATATTAAGAAAATGAAGAAAAAACTAAAGTTTAGTTTCTAGCGGTCTTTTTGTAACTTTAAATAGTAGTAGTATTCAGATGCCAGTGTGAAGTCAGGAATAAGGATCAATCTCTCTATACATGCCAATTGGAGCAGTGGGAGTTAATCGTTGATCATAGTTCAGTAAACAACATTGGTGATCAGGTACATAGAGAAGAAAATCTAAGCCAAACAACTGCGTTGACACTCTCCAGTAAATTTGTCATGAGTAGAATCATATGAAGAGAAAAATAAAAAGAGCTAAAAGCAAGCTCAAGTCAGGAACAGTAGCAATTGGTGGAGTGATTCTAGTTGATTATGATGGAGGAGCAGGTGGGGAGAGATTCTGGAATGATTTTGGTGGAGATTGAATAGGGAGCAGTGATGATAGGGGAGGGAACTTGGCTTTATTAATCTTGGTAAACCTAGAACAATGGCAGCAGTAGAGCCTGACCGCCCTCCCTAGGAAACTCTGGTCATGAAAACTCTACTTCTGCTTACCCCTGATGTGTTGGCCGGCCCATAGTTATGTAGCCTACTGGCCGGATGCAACACTAACAAACTCACTAACTAATCTCCTATTCTTACTCTTCAGATCCTATCTTTAAGCAAAGGCCCCCAAAACAGATAACTATGACCCATGTTTAGCCACTAGCAGCTGCTGGCGCCTTCTTCTTCTTCCTGATGTAGCTCCCAGTGTAAATGGAGAAGTGATTCTTGTCTGCTCCCCATTGATGGCCAAAGCGACAGACAATTGATGAGTTCACCAGAAATGACAGAAAGGCCCATGAAGCTTGGGCAAATATTTGCCATGGTCGGAGTAGATCCACACTGATGACTGATCTCGTTCTTTTCATCGAAATGTGGTTTCAGCAGGTTATCAACCAAACACCTTCTGAATACATACAAAAGTCGTGAATACCAATGCTGAGAAAAGAAAACATTGGCTCCATAAGAAGATGTGTGTTGAAAAGCGATTGAAGTCCGACTGTTTGAGAACTGAAAGACGAGAACACAGACTCGAAAGCCAAACCGAGGTGTACAAAAGCAGCAATTCATATAGTATAGTATAGTATATGCTTTAGTTTTTGGTGATGAATTCGACCCAGCTACCTTAATTCATTTGTGGCCGATGCACAGTCATTTGGTGCGTGAGCATTGCCGGAAAAGCGAACACCGAACTACCGAAGAAGGGGTCAAATCTGAATATATAGATACCCAAACTTGAGGCTACTGTTCCCCAAGTGATTAGCTCAAAAGGTGAAGTGGGTATGCACTACGCAGCGGCGGGCGATTCGAATGGCACCGGGGGCGGCGTGATTCTGGAGAAGTCACTAGAACGGATCAATCTCCATTACAGTTGCATCATGGGTTCAGGGTTTTGGTGTGAGGGTGCAATGCGGAGTGCGAGGAGCGCGGGGGAAAGGGAGAGAGCGCTCACCTCGGGCGAACCAACCCCCATTGGCCGGCGCTGGCAGGTCGGAGCCGAAGCCAAACTGGCGGGGACCGCGGAGAAGAAGGAAGAAGGGGCCGTGGACCCGTGGTTGAGGAAGGGGGCGGGGACACGGTGGGTTGGCACCTTGTGTTCGTCGCGGCGCTGCCGGCGCTGGTGGAGCCGAGCGGATCCTAGCACTCTATAACAAAGCCCACGCCAGGGTTTCTTTCTCGATCCGCTACCGTGTTGGCCCCAATTCCACTTCCGCGGTCTGCCTGTTGGCTCCTGAACTGGCTGGGCCGGGCCGCACCGAACCGACCAAAAGTTTGGGCTGATTTCCGTTTCTCGACGCGTTTCATGTCGCTTCGTTTTGATTTGGACCGTTGCACGATTTGCTCGGTGCGCGCGGTGGCTTTGGTGGTTTGGTGGCCCCGCTTTTGGGTCCCCACGCCGGCCAGCATATCTCTTGATTTTTTTTTTTGGGTGACTTGCATACCTCTTGTGAGATCTGAATGAAGAAAGAGCAGCAGCCAGCAGCTTGCGCCTTGCGGTGGAGGTTGCCAAAATGTGCACGCCAACTGGGACAGGAAACATGCAAGCCAATAAGGGTAGGTTGTCGGGGATCATGGTTCATGGGTATGTTAGCATCTAGCGTAGTACTAGCTGCTAGGGGCTCAATCATCATCATGAGTATTAGAGAAACAAATATTATGCATTAATTTGATGCAGAATCATTAGTATACCCAACATTTTCTAGCTCACGCTTTGGTCCCGTTCGGCTAGCAGAATTTTGGCTGAAACTGAAAAACACTATTCTGGCTGAATGGTTGTGAGAGAAAAATACTGTTCCGGCTGAAAAAAGAAGCCGAACAAGCCAAATATAAGATAATCCGAACAGGACTATTTTAGGCGGCCTACGACTTTTTGTAATTAAAAAGTAGAGGTCGGCCAGCATAATCAGGCAATAAATAGTTTTGAAATTTTCTCGAGCGGTAACCACTCGTTCCCACGTACTATATAAGAAAGCAAGCCCAACACAGAGAGATCGCTTTCATTTAGACTTGAAACCATCCTCGAGAATTATTGAAGCATTTTTCAATGTACGGCATGCGTTGCATTTCCAATAGAAGTACTCTCCCTTGGTTTCCAAATAAATCAATTTCTAAAATTCGTGCAGTCAATTTTTTTTAAGTTTAACTAACTTTATAGAAAAAAATAACAACATCTATAACTTAAAATTAACACATTATGAAAAATATATTCTATCTATGACTTAAAATTAACACATTATGAAAAATATATTCTATGGTAAATCTAATGACACTAATTTGATATCATAAATTTTGATGGTTTTTTACTACAAATTCGATAAAAATTTAAAAAGTTTGATTTAAGACAACTATAGAAATCTATTTATTTAGGAGAGAGAGAGAGCAACGAAAGAGAACGGTGTTTAAAAGGAAAAATTGTACTGAGACTATTTCCTTCCCAGGATATAAAACTTGGTACACTACATGCATTTTTATTGGCCGCGGGAGAGAGGCAAGGCTAGCTACAAACGGTGCTGTTGCATCAGAAGATATGTGTCATGTTCGCTTGGCTGATAAACCATGGCTAAATGTACTGTTGGTTGATTTATTATGAGAGAAAAATAATGTTCGTTGGCTGAAAAAACACGACTTATAAGCCAAGCGAACAGAACGATGGTATAGAGGCAAACACCTATCAAAGAGCAGAGCTAGGACGGCACGGTGGCTCCTTCGATCCTTCGCTTGCTACTGATGAGAACTGAGTGCTAGCTCAGCGCTGCGGGTGTGCAGGCCACCCGTCCGGGTTCGATGCCTAGCTTCGGCACCGGGTGTCCCACCGGGAACAGTGTTTCTCTCGGTAATTTCAGTTGCCTCGCATGGATGTGTCATCACTGTCATATTTTTTAGCAGTGTTCTCTTAGTTTTAGATATAGAGCATGTTCGCTTAGTCGTAAACGATCGTGGATTATAAGCCAGAACAATATTTTTCTCTCACATCAAACCAGCCAGCAGTACTTTTGGCTTATAACCCACGATCGCTTTAGCCAAAATGAACCGGCTGATAGGTTGTAAGTCTAGCTTATACACTAGGGATGTGTGTGATTGTGTTAGGGTGTGTTTGTGTGGTGTGAGTTAGGTTCCGTTAATTTGGCGAATCTTGGTTGGCCCTGGTTTGGTTGTTGTGAGAGAGAAACATCAGAATGGCAATGGCCCATTTGAATCTCGAGAGAGAAAACCAGCCGCCGGTTCATTGGAACCGCACCAGCGAACAAGGTCTTAATGTGTGAGTTCAGATACTATAGTTTATACTCATAGATTGAGGCAATAAAAAAAAGTCACCGCCCTTTGAATTAATCGTGTGATAAGTAACTAGTACAACGGCTACATTAATCGCTAGAAGAAAGACGCGAGAGGACTAATCGCACGTGCCGAGTACTACTACCAGCATTGCTAATTAGCAATGCTCCACATCGCAGGGAATAATTAGAGGCTAACCACGTACGCTCGAGAGCACGCACGCTCTGCAAGTACCGGCATGTTCGTTTAGCGGTGGCTCGTCGTAAACGATCGTAAATTTTTAGTTAGAACAGTATTTTTTTCTTACATAAATTAAATAACAGTACTTTTTTACAAATCAACAACAATATGAACCAGCCAACCGAACAGGCTGCACGTATCGTTGAAACACCAAGTCCTGCTTCGCACAAAGGAAAAAGGAAACGCAAGGCCTAACCAACTTCTCCATATCATTATGGATCGTACTAACAATTTTGTCAGAACCCTAAATTCAGAGCTTAAAGATTTGGAGTGTCACATTGGGGGTCAATGGATGTCACATGAGGTATTTAGATACTAATAAAAAAATACAGAATCAGTTAGTAATTCCACGAGACAAATTTATTAAACCTAATTAATTCGTCATTAGCACATGTGATACTGTAGCGTCACATTATTAAATCATAGAACTAATTATGTTTAAAAGATTCATCTCGTAAATTAGTCATAAATTATATAATTAATTATTTTTTAGCCTATATTTAATACTTAATATATATGTGCCAAATATTCGATACAATAGAGCTAGCCACAGTCAGCAGCCTTCGCTTTTGCCGCGAGGCGTCCACGCGGCAGGCGCCGACCCTGCCTGCACCCGGGGGCCTCGGCCACACAGACGCATTGACCTGACCGAGTCTTGGGCAGCGCCACCTGTCTCGGGGTGCCCGGCTGCCGGCCTCCGACAGGGACCTTCTGCCCGTTTGGCGCGCCCGTCGTCGGGCCACGTCGGTAGAGACAGCCGGGCCCGCTCTCAGCCTCAACGCGTTTCGGACTAAAAACGGACAATGCGCTGCCCGTACAGGCGTACAGCCTCTATTCTTTCGTTACCTCCGTGCCTTTTTAAATGGCGCTGGCTATTTGTGCTGAATATTTTTTTAATTTAATTAGATTTACAAGTATTAGTAATATTTATATCTCTAAATAAGTTTACTATAAAAATAAATTTAACAATATATCTAATGATACTTATTATTTATCATGAATATTAATATTTTCTTGTAATATTTGGTCAAAATTGAGTATATTTGACTTGTTGATAAGTGACAGTTCAGAGGAATTAATATAATCAGGGACGTGGTGTAGACACGAGGATCAAGGAGGACACACGGACACAAGTTCTATTTTACCCTGTTCCGTTGGGTATTAAAACAGGGGAGACTAGCATATATATATATGTGTCGTCGTGCAAGCTTTCCAGAATTAAGACCATCAGACACGTGGATATGTGGTTCATGCCTTAACGGTAAGCTACAGAATTGTAAGTAGAACCAAAGGAAAAAGCTTTAGCGTAATTGAGGTAGCTTGTGCCGAGTGCACAAGAGCCTAACGTGTAAGCAGGAATGCAGAAGCCAATTTTCCACCGACATGGAACATCTAGATGTTTTTTTTTTCATGACGAGGTCGATCCCATTTTTCTCTACAACGTTAGAATGATGGGTTTGGAGAACGACCCCACACCACATAGAGTGGTCCAGCATGGCATGGTGCCGACGTGCAGTGGCCCGACTCTTTTTACGAGATGCGTTTGCTCCTTGAAAATGGCTCGCCGGAGGCTCGATCTAATTTCCATTATGGTTGTAGGGAACACAAGCTTCTTCAGAAAACTCACAGGGAGAGACTAGCTAACCTGATTCAAATTCAAACTATAAGACCAGAATTTACAACGATCCTCTGTCAACCTGCGTAACATTTGATTATTATTATTACTCCGAAAATCTCAAAAATAGAATCGCAAATCCGCAAGCACCTTGTGGGATTAACAAAGGCTGTGTTTGGCGCGGCTTCGGGTGCTCCGGCTCCGCTACTATAGCGCAACTGTAGCGGAGCCGGGAGAAGCATCCCTTCAGTAGCTCTTCTGGCTCTCCTCTGGGCTACGCACGAGCCGAAGCCTTTTTTTTTTGTCGCTATAGAATTGCACAGGAAGTAACAGGGATGAAAAAGCCGGAGCCAAGCATGCAGGAGACCAAACAAACGGCCCCAAAGTAACAAACTGACAATATCTTTGTTTTTTCGAGGACAACCTACATTACAGTACGGTTGGTAAACCGTGGCGTGAGGCCGTGACTCCGTGAGAAGCTCTTTCTTCAGTCCATTCCGAGTTTGGGATGGAATTCCAGCCAATATATAAGCCCATCCGGCAGGCAGGCACTCTGCCTTTGGGAATATCGCATATGCCCAAACAAAACGTTACTCTTCTAACATCCGCAAGTCTCCTCTTGGTTGCTTCTTGCCCAGCCTGCTCTCTACCTAGTTTCGTCGTCATCTATCATCACAGGCCAGGTTGCTCCGCTCGGAATGGCCTCCCCGTCGACAGAAGCCCCCCCGCCTCCCCCGACCCTCCGAGACGTCATCGGCCACGACGACGACGACGACTACGACGACCACTTCATCGCAGACGAGGACGAGGACGAGGACGAGGACGAGGACGAGGAGGAGTGGAACATGAGCAAGCGCATGTCGCGCCTGTCCATGGAGGGTTCCGACGGCGGTGACGCCGACGACGAGGACGGCGGCGGAGACGACGACGAAGAGGAAGAAGAAGGAGAGGAGGACGAGTTCGAGGTGCGGTCGGACGTCAACGCCGCAGCCACCACGTACCGCCCGTGGCCTCCGTCCGACTACGAGCCGCGCGGGGCCCCGCCGGCGTCGGCGTCGCTGCCGGGCACGCCGGACCGCGGCGGCGCGCAGTCGTCGCCGTGGTGGCCCGGGCCGAGGAGCGCCAAGGACAAGGAGTACGCGAGCGAGACGGAGGCGCGGTGGCCGCCCGACGCCGCCGGGCGCGGCGGGACGCGGCAGCGGCAGCACCGGCGGGCGCGGGAGGTGTGGCTGGAGCGCGCGTGGCGGATGCGCAAGCAGCGGCGGCAGCTGCAGCTGCGGGAGGAGGTGCCCGTGGTGGTCCTCGGCGGCGGCGGAGGCGTGGCGATGGACATGGAGGAGGTCCGCGCGTGCCGGGACCTGGGCCTGGACCTCCCGTGCGACTGGACCGTGGAGATCCCCTGCTGCTACGCGCTCTCCGGCGTCGACACCGCCAGCAGCGGCGGCAACTCGCCGGCCTCTGGCAGCTGGCGCATCTCCAGCCCCGGTAACCCGAGACCCCGGCCCAATCATTGTCGTTGATTAGTCCCTACCAGCTTCCCAATTTTCTTTTTCTAGTACTACACTGCGCTGCTAGGCAAGCATCTGTTTGTCAACAAGTGCTCTGGCCGAACGGTTTGTCCGTACGCCCGCGAGGCCGCGAGTTGCGTCGGTCCGGTCGAGGCGCCGAGCCGATCAGATGACCGGCCGGCGGGTCAATTCGTCGCTGCGCGCACGTCCATTTGGCATGAAACTGACGGGGGGCCTTTGCCTGCCCGGTGGCCGCCATGCTCGCATGTCACCTCCACCTCGCACGGGCGGAATCGCATTCGACGGCCGTCTCTCTGCCCTGCCTTGCCAGGCAGTGCACTCGAACCAAGTTTAAAGAGCACGCGCGCCAGGTGTCATGCTCATGAGCACCCCCCTGTCTCATCATCACCCAAAAGTATTGTAGTAGGGCCTCGTTTAGATGCTGAAAAAATTTCAACCCGATGAATAGTACCACTTTCGTCTTATTTGACAAATATTGTCCAATCGTGGACCAACTAGGCTCAAAAGATTCATCTCGTGATTTCCAACTAAACTGTGTAATTAGTTATTTTTTTTACCTACATTTAATACTCCATGCAAGTGGCTAAAAATTGATGTGATGGAGAGAGAGTGAAAAAACTTGAAATTTGAGATGCATCTAAACAAGGCCTAGGAGTACATGGGAATGAGATTCATCAGTGGCGTGGCGCATCTGTTAGCTCTTGTATACTTGTGTGGCTGGGAATTGGACTCGCGCAACTCGTGGCGATCAACCTGCTCCTTGTCCTAGCTAGGGTGGTGGTTCCTCACGCCGACGTGGATGCGTCACGATGCATGCCTCCTTTCAGGCTTCCCTTCCCTGTAGCCTCGTGAGTATCCTCTCTCGGCTGAAAACCCATTTATAAAAAGATTATCTTTTAGGTCTGGTTGTTAGAGAAAACAAAAAAAAAAGATATCGAAGCCTTTGTCTGTAGCGCTACCCAAATGAGTCTTGTATTTTATGTAACGGTTACTGAAGACAGTCTAACGCGAGCTGCCGGGCGCCAAGTGTTTGCTCGCTGTGTCCACCCGCTTTCGTGGACGCGCTGCTCTCATCATACCGCGCACTTAGCCCGCGATGATACCATACCATTACCAATTTAGCAAGCGCATGAATGATTAGGCACGGTGTATGGATCGGATTGGCCGGGGTGCTTGCTTTGCTGCCAAGCGTTGTTCTCTTTGGTGCAGTGCTGTGCCGTGACACTGCTGTTCGTCGCTGTTGAAACAGGGGACGATCCCAAGGACGTGAAGGCGCGGCTCAAGGTGTGGGCGCAGGCGGTGGCGCTCGCGTCCGCCTCTCGTCTCGGTTCTTGAGGCACCAATCAAGCAACCAACCAGCGGCATGCGTACACATCCGCAGGACAGATTACCCGTCGTCTCCAACAGTAACATAGTCTTCGCATCTTGTCAGATGAAAAAAAATCAAGAAAAAGAAGTGTCGTCATTATTTGGGGGCAGAACACCGTTGCTTCTGCCACATCGTTTTTGTGTTCATTCCACTGTAAAAATGCGTCATTAGTAAGTGTGTCCGTGTGATCATATATAGCTAGAACTAGGATCAGGGTTTCTTTAAAAAAAAAAAATGCAAAGCAAACTGTAAGCTAGGATTAGCATGCATATGGTTTGGTGACTTTATAAAAAAAAAAGGATTGTTGAGGGAGCTAGCCGTACGTGCACAGTGCGCAGGGGTCGCTGGGTTGACAGTGCGACACGTGCAGCTCTGTGGACCGTGTGTGTTTTTGGATTGAAATTCCATGATTGCTGTACTACGAGTATAAAAGGAGTGCAGGTGAAGAAACATAGAGCTAGGGGATTTTCCATGGATGTTGTTTGGCCGGTGGGGAGCAAAGCGACCCAACAGCTTCACAGGTGTTCTTCATTCATGTGTTGATTCTACTGTAGTACTGTAGACTTGGAAAAGCCAAAGGAGAGAACCTCGGGGAGAGAACAGACTCATGAAAAAATGGTTTCTACAAGGATGTTTGCCATGTAGCAGCAGCAGTAGCAGTAGTTCTACCAGTAGTTTTGTCGGTGTTTTGTAAATCGGACCAGTAAATTTATATGAATGCTGCGCGCTGCTCTAGACGACGAAGGTAGCATCCAAAAGACACGAGGATTTATACTGGTTCAGGCCAGAGCCCTACGTCTAGTCTCAGAGATGATCGAGTGCGTGTTCCTCGCTTGAATGCTCTGAAGTTCTTACAATGAGGGTGTCAAGAATGGTTGAAGAGGTAAGAGAGCAAGGGCCAGGAGAAGGACTGCCCGAAGAAAAGCTTCGAGAGCCCAAAGAGAATGGAGATATGGACTGAATGGGAGTCATGGGGATGCCCCGTATGTAGGCCTTGGCTGCTCTTATATAGAGTCCGGAGCCAGGTTACAAAGAAGGAGGTTCTCCCGACCAAAGGATCGTGAGCCTGAGGGAGGGGGCCTAACTAACTTGGCTTGCAAGTAACACCATCTTATGGTGTATGCCTTGGCGTGGCTGTCGTCATGGTCTTGTACTCACGTCATGGCATGGCGTGACGTGATGTCACAGCGTCCGTCATGGCGATACTGTGGCAACGGCGTTGTTTCGCTAGCCATCCTGCGCGACGTGGTCTTTCCATGGTGTTCGTTATCACCTCCTGATCGTCCGAGGGCATCGTATGAGAGTAGGTAGCCGCCCTTGAGTTGCCGATCACCTTGCTGCTTGTGGAGTGGGTGGCCACGATCCCAAGCTCTGGGGTCATGGCCCGCGTTGGCTTGGATGGCCTTTAAGTCAAGGCCATCATCGTGGATCCCATCCCGTAGCGGGTGGGATTGTACAAACGTCTTGTCGGGCCGTATTTAGACTCCGTACCTGCCGTCGCCTCTAGGCGGTGTTGTCTTGTCTCTACGGTGTGGTGCAAGGATGGCGCCTAACCGGACCGAGGGGACCGCTTACGGGGTCAGTGCGGCGTGCCTGCTCTGATAGGAGCAGGCGCACAGTGCAGACTCGATCTCTCCTGGTTCCCCGTTAGGGTCGGGATGGCGAGAGGTCGTGAGCTGCTACGTTGAGTACGGCTAAGGCAGGAGGGAGAGGTCGTGGCTGACCCCGGCCTCAGTGGTTGGCCCAATCCACTTAGTTTAGCTGGGCCTCAGTCGTTTGGGCTCAAGTTTGGCTTTTGTATCATGGGCAGTCCGGCCTACCTGTTAGTCGATGTCTTGAGACACCTAGGGATCATAACCCGACAGTATCCCTCGAGCCTTTTTGTCATCATGAAGTGATCGCAAAAGCATTAAGATTTGTGTGTGTCGAGTGTGGGTTCGTAGTCGTGGCCTATCTAAGCTTCGTCGCTTAACCCCTTGTGGGCTTGTGCGTTCAATGCAGTAGGTGGCTGTTTCGTTTCACCAAGTCTAAACGCCTTGACGATGTGGGCGCAACTGCTGAGCCCTGCCGTGTTAGTGTGTCGTGCATCGGGGTTCACGACCCAGGTAGGGCCGAGTGGTCATGTCGACGCTGTGCTGGTCTCGCCTTTGGGAAGGTCTCGATTTCTCCGACCTCACGCGAGCGTCTGACATTAGCTATGGCCTCCTGTGGTGCGCCACGTGGCGTGTGGGTTTTAGGCTACTCAATCCGCCCTTGGGCTTATAAATAAGGGCCTCTGTAGGGTCGAGATGGCGACTAGAGGGAGGGTGAATAGTCCTTTCTAAATTTAATCGTGCTGGCTAACTGAAACAACTACAGAATTAAGACAACTAGTCTAGCCAAGACTACACCCCTCTATCGAAGTTCACAAGCACCTTATAAAGATCCTGATTAGACAACAAAGGTGCCGGGCTAACTAGAGCTCACCTATCCAATTATAGGAGCAAGGTCATGTAACAGAACCGACCAATTATACGAGATTAAGTAAGAAAATCTTCCGCCAAAGCAGATAATTTAGCAAACTTAAAACCGTATAACCTGGTAGTCCGTGAAACCACGAAGGATTTCAAACCAATCGACATACAAACCAAGATCGTACAAGTTTAGCAAGTACCGTCACACGTTACATAAAGTTCATAATCATAGTTGGGTACATCAGAGTTTAGAATATAAAGTTATTACAAACCTAGTTCAATCTGAAATAGCGGAAGCAAATAGTTTTAAGGCCACACACACACTTTTAGTTCCGATACAACGCCAGTAGGTAGTCATCTCCAACAAAAGCATCAGATGAGAGATACAGAGTGACCATTGCCCTTAGTCCTAGTTGTCACCCATCGCCGGGTACAGGCAGTTAATGCAAAAGCCGTAGTACATTTGACCATCTGCAACAACAATGGGAACAACGCCCTGAGTACGAGAAGGTACTCAGCTAGACTTACCCATCTTAAACCAAAATAAAGCGACACCAAGGATTATGCAAGGCTTTCTTTAGTGGGCTAGCTGACTTGTTTGCGAAAAGCATAAGTTATCATGAAGACATCATTTTAAATACTTTGCATTATCTTTATTAGGACCTATCCATCTAGGTAAGCACCTGTACTATAGCAATCACTTGATTAACCAATAACATCCAGTTACCAATTTAGATTTAGCATATCCCATACCATCCAGATAATCATCATTGTTCCATAATAATTACTACGATGTCGTAGCTCAAGTCAAGTGCTCAGTATCCAGGAGAGATGGCGATTCGAATCGATGCATAACCAGCTGGTGATTTATTCCTCACACAAACCATGCTTCCCCTGCCAGGGAAGCTTAGATCACCAAGGACACTATTCAGGTAGCCGCGGGACAATCTGGAGCCGCAGTACCCAGGGACCGCCCGACTGCCAGGAATCAGGGCGCACCTGCCCTTGGGCTCACTCTTTGCATCCCTATCATACCCCCATCAGCACCAATACGTGCACCCGTGTAGATCCCGGCCCGAATAGTGCCACTAGCTTCATGGTCGAAAGGTACTTTATTCGGCCAGCTAAATGTGAGGCATGCGTTCAACGTGACAAGAGGGACGAACAACGATCAGTTCTTAATCGACACAGACAGAAACTAATAGCACCCCAGAACTCTGTCTGGTTGCCTCTAACTTTTCCGTCCGGTCTCCAATTATCCATCACACATGGTTAATTCCAGGATATCATTATTTCCATAGCTAAATTCTTCCAGTAACCACCTATAATGTAGGTGACCGGATATCACCGATCGCTACCGGTCTAAGCAAGGCTAAGAAGTTATTCGATCCTGACCTAATAGGGTAAAAGGTAATAAGGTAGGCAAGGATACTAATAAATGCATCAATGGTTTCAATCAACTCCTATAACTTAATGCAACAATATATAAACTCATATATATAGAAAGAATTGCTTTTATAAATTAGGAGACTTATAATGCTCCGGGGCTTGCCTCGCTCGAACGAACTAGGTTGATGATCCACGCACTCGGGCAAGTCCTCTCGTTGCTCCTCTTCCTCTAGCACCTCCTGTGCCTGGACTTCTTATGGATCTGTCCCGGTCTGCTCTTCCTGAACTACTACTACTAGCAACTCCTCCTGCGATCCTGTATGATGCAGATGTATAAGTGCTAATGCATAGGTGCATCGAAGAGATGACATGTAATGATCATGATGCATGGAATGTAGATGAACATGTTTAACTTTATTGGACATAGTAGAAGTAAAGTTCTTCTACAAGATAGCCAACATCATCCAAGAACATGTACTACTATTCTACTACTACAACCACTGTACTAATATGCTAAGTCACCACAGCAAGCTAAGATGCTTTAAAGATACACCAAAGCAAACATTATTAACTAAACATGCATTAAAGAAGATTATTTTATTTCATTTTGAACTAGGGCTACAACAGCAACATATATTTTTGGTGCTCATAAAAATATGAGAAAATTACAGTAGCAGAGTACTACTCTAAGTAGACTACCATAAAACTTTCATGGCATTTGGATAAGTAAAATAGCCTACACAAAAATGACAAGCTATGGCATAAATATGAGCATAAAAATACTTTATATTATGAAAAGTATCAAACAACAGATTTAATATTTTTCCTATGTTCTACACAGTAAACAATCACTGCACAAAAATTATCGTAACATGTTTTATACAATTTTTGCTCTCTATCAAAATAACAAAAATCATCAATTGAAGGCACTTGAACTACACATCAATATTTCTCTACAGAACAAGCATGACATATATTTTTCACAGAAAGTACATCTCAAGAATAGATCAACCAAATTGGAATCATATTTTTCTGATGTATATTCTATTTATTAAGCATTTTCCAAGAAAACAACAATTACAAGAATTAACTAAAGCCCTATATAAATGTATCCCAAAACTGAC